CAGTGCATTGCGATTAAATGTTCACCTTACTCGTTCGAATACCCACACTGAAAGTTCCATCAGAAAGTGCAGGATTAGATGTTGCGCAAATGCTAAATATTACAGTATCGTGAAATAGGTGTTTAGCAATCAAGGCTGCGATAGTAAGCTTGAGATAGATATCCGTATCACCTCAGGGGTGTTCTTTGAGTTACGTGTAGCGTAAAACAATACGACAAAACTTACAATCATAGAATGGTCAATCAATCAATCAGTATAAAAATGTATACAATTGTCTCTATGTGCGGGGAAAAATGACATGATATGGGATAATTCAGGTCAACTGATTTCAATTACTTTCGGTTGCCGACACTTAACGTTAAAAATGGTATATTTTTATTAAAAATAGGTATTAGATATTTTTGAAGCACCTGTTTAGTAACCTTATACATGTTCACCTCTAGTTTTCATCGTATAATCAATATTTATTTATTGGAGAAGGTGATGAGGTTACTCATACTCATGTGGTACCAAAATCCTTTCATTTCTTTGAAGCTAATAAAATTGATCATCAAAATTCAGTATTTTGGAATTGCATACCTTGTATTTTAAAGTTCTTTTTTGCTTTTGAAAATTAAAAGAAGAAAATATTGCCCTATTACCAGACACATAATTAATACCATTTCTTTTATTCTTTGCATATAATAACCTTTAAATCTTCAATATGTTTTTGTATCACCTTAATTGTATTTTATATGTGGACAATCTCTTTGTACTTTATTTTCATTGTAATTATTGTGTAGGACCGTTGTTAAAAACAGGTATTAACATCTGCCTGGAAATGTGTCCTGGGTAAGTAAGTTTTAAATAAATAAGATTTTTTAAAAAGCTGATTATTAATGTAAGAATTTTTCAAGTAGAAAAAATTGTAAATTGTAAATTCATTTAAATTAGAAATTTAATATTTTTATTAAATATTTAAGCTTCTTAAAAAGAACCCCACCCAAAAAAACAAAACAAAAAATCAGTGGAGTTACTGTCTTTTTGTTTTATTTAAGAATAATTAGTGGATCCCTGGTTTTTAGGCTTCTTCTTTTCTTAGATTTTTTATTGTGATAATGACTTATACAAAGAAGGAACTGATCTTGATGATATCGTTAAAAAATCTCCTTTTTCTACCACACAATGTTAAAGAATCCTTACAATTCTGCTCATCTTACTAGATACATTATAGACACAACCCCATCATGTCTTGCCAAAGAAGATGAATAATAGAAAAGTGCAAAGATCAGGGAAGAAAATATTGAGAGAAACATAATTAAAAATTTAATACAGATTGACGACACGAAGGAGAAATAGGTCAGATAGCCTTAGCCTTAATATTACACTCAATTTGTATGAATCTATTAATCTCTGTCGTTTTTACCTCTTATGATTATTTTCTCGGCGAAGAAAAAGATGATATTTATAAAGTATAGTTCAAAGACCAATTAAATACTCTATACTGACAGCTTTTTTTTGCACGAATCTTTGCCCTCGGTATTTCGGCATGATGAACGAGCATATTATTTGGGTTGTACTCCAGCCCTAATTAACATTAGTAATCTGAATTTTGCTGCAATGCCCATGTGACGTATTTAGCATATATCTTATAGCGGGAGTTTGATGGAGCCTCGTTTATACCTTCAGGCCTTTTCATCTATACACAAAAGATTTCCTGAAAGTGTGAAGCTAATGAGCCTCTGAACAATCTTGCTTTATTGAGATTGGCAAAAAACACCCTGACATATGGCCTTCTCCACTAGGGCAACAATAGGCTTCCTGTGCAGTGTACTAGACGCTCCACACGCATATAGGCTCTAACCATCTGCCTAGGTTTTTCTAGGAGCTTGCATAATTCGTCATCTATAGTGATTAGATAGAATTCACAACTGTCCTAATAGGCTGCGGCAAGTACATTGAACTGGAGAGAAAACGTTGACTTTCAAATGTTACGTGTACTTTGTTGAGTATTCGCAGCGATAAAAATCAAAGCAAACCTGTTTCTAAGATTTATTTTATAGTTTGCTTCGAAAGACAGACTCGAGTCAAATTTAGGCCTGCTTTCATCAGAATTGAAATTTTTGTGGAAATGAGTAATTAGATAGTTATTGTACAACATTCGAGTACAAATAATAAATTTATTTATTTTTACTTTTTTTAAGTTAGAAATTGGATGATTTTGTTATACGCTGTAAAAACTAATATATTTTAACGCATTGGTTTACATTTTATGAATAAAATAATAATGTTGTATCCAGAAATATAATGATATTAATATATATTTTTGTAATTGTTTATATTGATATTTTGTTTAGTTTGTATGGGTTTTTTAAATCTATTTTTGTTAAGCTAAATATTGAATTGTTTTTTTGTTTTTGTTTACCATAAATAGATATGCAGTTAATAAAGAATATGATCTCCAATAAATGGGAATATGGGTCAAAGTACAAATATACATATTGTTTAAAAAAAACTAAATAATATTATATCCAAACTGATAAACACACAATCAAACTAAAACTAACATCTCTTGTGAAAATTATAAGTCCTATGAAATTCTTAAAAACTGATAGACAATATTAACAATATAGATCGATTAATAAAGACCTTACTTCTACCCCTAGCACTTACTGTACCTCGACCCTTAACTCTTACCAGTACTGGTATATCTGTTTTTATATATTTTATTTACGTTGATTCACAATCATCCGTTTATCTTGCTGTAATGTACAGTATTACTTTAAAGTCATAGACTTTATATTTGTACAGGTACTGTACTATCCCATTGTAAATTTATATCGTCTCTAATAAATAACCATTCATCTCGTGACCATTGGCACGATACTACTTACCACAGGTATACTACATACTAATAATAGTTCCATTGAAATTCTAGAATTATTGGCTAGTTGAAACTGGACAATAAATAAATATGGTTTATAGTAAACTATGATTACATATAATCTGACTTCTATTAAATCTTTTCGAGATATAATATATTAGAGATATAACAATAAGATTTAATTTAATATTAATATTTTAATAATAAAGATTATTATTATTATTATTAACGAATGTGTATTTTTGATATAATTAACATTTAGGTTACATGTACACAAGTAAACTTGTTTTGTATTATTTTCTGAAAATGATTTCTATTGTATAAGCTAACTGACAGAAAACTTGGCAAAAGTTAAAATAAATTGCTAGACAAGTGAAAATCGGATAAAAGTGTACAGTTGACATATTCTTGTATATAAAAAACAAAATATTAATATTATTAAATTAAATCTTATTACTAGAGAGAGTATTACCATTTTGTACAGTATTAATAATTATCTATTTATAGAATTTTTATTTAAATAGTAATAATATTGTTATTGATATTTACTGTATGATTTGGAGACCAGGCCAATCAACTACAAATTTTTTGTTAATGTTTTGTATATTTATTACTGTTATGTTGTTTAATAATATGTTTTGTATTATTAATATTTCTAATTTCTGTAGATATGTTATAATGAAAGCAGTTATAAATGCAAGCAAAGTAGTCCTAATGGCAGATTTAAATAATCACAATTGTTGTATATTTCATGTAATCCTATATTAGTAGCATGACAACGCATGATTTTAAGCTTTCAAATCATAAATCTTCTATCAATAATTTCATTTCACAAAATTTGACTCAAAAATTGATAATCACAAATAAACAGACAAGTTTCTATTGCAATGCTATTTTTTAATCTGAAATCGTGTGATCCATTTCAAATCCAATATTCTTGATAAATTTCCTGTCAATTTTGATGTATATAATTTTTTTCCTACTTTATGGCAATCGTGGATGTTGCCAGAGATATTGAAATGTGTCGGCAGCTTTGTAGGCCCTTAAAAGGAGAGTTGACACAATGTCACAAAGTTCCCTTAATCCCGTAGCCTAGCTAACCATCAGTCGGCTCAAAGGACCGTAAAATACGAGTGAAAATCTCGTCCGTCATGTTTATTGTATTGTGTCCATGCCTTTGTTTGCATCATTTCATGCTAATGAGTAATTAAGCCATCGGTTTAGCCTTGTAAACCTTAATGCCACAAGAGGTTTCCTCTCCGCAAATGTAGCGTAAGTACGCTAAACATCCACATACTTGGCTATCACTTGCGCAGCACCAAGAGACAGGTTTTGGTGGTTTTAAAGGTCGGTACATCCTGCTCTCTAAAATATAAAAAAAACAAAAATTTTTGTGGCCTCCTACAAACTAGTTAGATTAACTGCTAATGCTGCGCCATTGACGAAGGCTGAACAAATTTTCTGCACAATTGTCACTCAAAAGGCTCCATAATCCACTAGAGGTCTTTTGAGGTTTTGTCATAGAATGTAGGTCACTGAATGAACTCAAATTTCAGGCATATATAAAATTTCCAGTTTAAAACTCCGAATTCGGCATATATCATGAATATCCCTTATAATTATAATGATTGATAAACATCTGTTGTCCACAGTGGTCAGTTGGTCATTTTTCCCTTCATTTATTTCAATTTTTGATTAATCGATTACATTGGGTTGCTATGTAGGGAATTTTTTTCGCAACATTAGATAATAGGTATGGGCAAAGAGTCATGTTTTTATTATTGCTTGAGCAATTCTCACGTTTGAGTAGCTACAAGTTGGGTTTTAATTGAAGAAATATGTTTCATGATTTATAATTTGAATTTTGTTGCAGGGAATTATGCTTTCTCATTGTGTGTTAGTCATAAACTCTTGTGATTTTGATCGCCAAAAATTCATTTTTGATTCCATTATAGTTAAAAGCACCTGGAATTAATTTTTTATTTTATTAAATTGCAATCTATGGTAAATTCAAATATTAAAAATTAATTGACAACACTACTTATTATTGCTTTAAGTTTCTTAGAACATTTGTTCATGTGAAAATGCCAAGAAAGTATAATTAGTGATCATATAATATTTTATTTGTTCTTTTTAGGTCACAGCACTCTACAGAATGGAACGAACTCAGCTCTTGATAAAAACAGCTCAAGTCCGGAGGCTGCGGTGGAAGCAGTAGACTATACTGTTCGTAGACGAGAGGACGTCATGGAAGATCCCATACACCATGGCATATTCCAATGCAGCCAGTGCAATTTCAGAACTGAAAATGAACAAGAGTATTTTCATCATAGTGAAGAACATGCCCCTGATCGTGATTTCATCTGCATTGTATGCAATCGAAAGTTCTCGAAAAAACAAAGCCTACGAAGGCACATGAATCTTCATAGCGGTCACCGGCCATTTAAATGTCCTTTGTGCGAGTACAGATCCTCGCGCAAGGATCATCTCCAGCTTCATCTTCGCACACGTCATGCACCCGGTAAAGCTACTAATTACCAATTCAAGTGTGTGATCTGCGGAAACTCGTACCAAAGTCAGAAACGCATGATAATGCACATGAAGTCGCATCAGAGGACGCACCGCTGCGACATCTGTGGGATGACATTTCCTTCTTTCACTGCAATGGACAGCCATAAAAAGGCTAAACATGTCATGCCTACAACTCCTGTATCAAACGGAAGTCCATATACGTGTCACGCTTGTGGTTTCATGAGCACAAGTGCTCAGGGCTATCATATCCATTTGCAAAGTCAGCGACATAAGGATGTCATTACCGCATCCGTTCGAATTCCTCAAGTCTTGAAGTCTTCAATCGAAGATGAGAAAAGAGATGATAGGATCGAAATGACTGCAGTTTCGTTCCCGGGTCCCATTCCAATTTCTATGCGTCCAATGATACCAGATGGCCCACAGCGCCTTCCGCCGACATTGTCGCATCTCCATAATCCTAGAGTCTTTCCGCATCACCAGATTCCCGGACCACATTTCCCTATCAGACCAGAATTCTTCTCTCCGGTTTTTGGATTTCCAAGACCGGACTTCCCAAGGCCAGAATTTCGAAGCGAACATAAATCTGCAATGCCGGTTATACTTGCTGATGTTAGTTCTCTGCGTTTGAGCCCTGCAGCTTCCGAGACTATATCTACCGGATCACCATCTCAAAGTGTATCACCCAGTTATAACCGAACAGTCAGCCCAAGCTATAATGCCTCAAGTCCTACGTCTAGTCCACTGATGCAAATGCCAGGCTTACTTATGAAGTCATCGCAGGATTCTCCACGTAGTGTATTTGTGAGTAGCGCAAGTCCAGTGAGTCCACATTACACGTCAGTGAATGTTAGCACCTACAATCAAGGTGACGAGGCGTCACCGAAAAGCGTTGACTCAAAATCGCGTACATCAAGTTTTGATTCAGGGCACGAAACTCGGCCAGAGCCGACACAGTATAACATGGCCACTAGCTCAGGGACGCGGGATAACGCAACACAAGATGATATCCGTAGATGTAAGCATTGTCACACTGTCTATCCAGATGATGTAATGTATGGTATACATCTTGGTTGCCACGGAGTGAACCATCCGTTCGAATGCAACATTTGCGGTCAAATTTGTTGTGATAAGTATGATTTTGCGACCCACATAACAAGAAGTCTACATAAAAAATAAATGTGTTACCAATTGTGGTAGTGATACATAAGGAAAATATAAAGCAAAAAAATAGATATAGAAGAAAAAAAGGCTGGATTCCAAACCCACCTTTGTTGATAGTTGCAATGTAATGTTATTTCCAAGAAATTTATTTATTTATGTTAAATTTTTTCCATTTACTCTTTTCATTTAATCCGAAGAACAACTCATCATGTATATTTATCTTGCTAAATGCAGCTATTTCAGCCTGAAGCCAGTCACAGGTAAAGACAATCAATGATAATATAATTGAACCTAAGATTATCTATAGCTGTCAAAATTTGTAAAAATAAGAAGGCACTGTCATTAGGATAAGAATAAGTACAGGTTAGAGTAATCTGCAGGACAATCATCTTCTTTATGTTGTGTGTGTTATAAGTACCTGAACTCTGAACTCCAGCATATCGTTGAAATTCTCTTGTACTGTTCATGTGATTTCTTAGGAATGGATATCCCTCTTTGTCAAATGGAATTGAGGAGGACGCCAAAGTCAGTTGTATTAGACAATATTAAATCAACATATATATAATCAATATGTGTTGACAATCAAAACATTAAAGAAGCCCTTTTTGGGAGTGGGGATATGGGTCGGTTACTTCGAAAAACCAAATTGTACTGGATATTTTAAACAAGACAAGTTCATTAATTTTCAGAACAGTTTAATTGTAATGTACTTTAGAAAGTATAGTATGAGACTGATATCATATATACAGTGTTACTGTTGCACTTGTAGAGCATCACGATATTATACTGTATGCTAGTGAGTTTAGCTTCCCTTTAAAATGCTTGTATCAGCATGGTCAGACAAATCACTGGCTAAAATGTATGGCCTAGTGCAAAGAAATAAATTGTTTATCTGGTACATTTGGATTACGATTCTGTGTAATACCTCAAATAATATCTTCCCCTCCCGATTTTGTAGTGATTAAAAAGAACGTATATTCTGTTTGTCAGCAAACCCTATACTCCATACATTTGAAGTCTGTATAACTCATTAATATCATATTGGGTCTATTAAACAGAATTGTCCTTGATAATCGGCTATTTTGAATGCATTCAAAATTGCTTTTGATGATCTCACAAATGATTGATAATTCGTGAAATACAGGAAAGATAGAAAACCTTGGTTCACAGGTCATCGTTGCTAGTACTAACACCACAACCTGTTAAATGGGCTTTGCAAAATCTAGTATAATCTAATAGACGGTTCAACGGAAAAAAGATCCTAGAGTTATAAAAGATGTAATATATTTATTTCAGAAAATGTTAACTTATTTAAAAGAAAGGAAAGCGTAGATGCGTGCAGGGTGTTGTGTTCTGTATGTTGGTTTAGTCATTAAAAGAAAACGAAACGTTTTGTATATATAAACAATGTTAGCTCTTTGGGAAAAAATGTTTTTTATGTTATTTATTTCATATGCTTTGTGTATGTAATGTTGTATGGGCTAAAAAGCACATAATAAGATATATAAACTGTGTAAGTGGAGATTTTTGTGTGTAATACTTTATTATAAGTATTTCCATATCTTTGAATTGATTTTTTAACTACCCAGCTATACAATTGAGAATGTATGTTGCATTCAAAATAAGAATTACCACCACCAATGTAAACCACCTCCACTCCCAATTTTGAGAAACACTCTTAAATGTTTTATGTAATTAAAGATTTAGTATCATTGTCTTTTTGTATTTCTAGATGTTTCAATATTATATTAATACTTTGCAACACCACACTGTAAATCCCTAATTATTTATTTATTTAATTAATTTTGTGTGTGTCCTTTCAGTGTTGACTGAATTAAAGGGCCTTCTACTAAATACATGTTTCACTGATGTTCACTGTAAAGCTCTGGCCAGACATCAATTATATTTGACAAACACATGTGAAATGCCTAAATATGGTCATAATGACATCACATCATGACCATATATAGGCACATATAGACTATATATGGGCATACAACAGTCTTTTCGTCAAATGAAATGTGATAATCTGGATAGGGCTTTATGTAGTACTATTATATTTTTGTCTGTCAGATGAAACGGTGTCTGTTCAGACTTATATTTCAGTCATATCTAAACAAATATATTGTATTTCCATTTCTTTTGGAAGTACAGTAGAAAAAGCTTTATACCAGATCTGACAGACAAAAATCTGATGAAATATGACTGGTTTAGACTATCTCTGGAAGGAAACATCCTGATTTGTGTATTGTTTTTTTCTTGCAGATGTATTTTGTATTTACATATTGAGTAAATACATTTCTCATGATGCTTCATAAAAATTGTAAAGTCATTCATTGGTCTGATGCCTTTAGGATTCATAATGGATAAGTAGATCCTAGGTTAAGTGCATCATATCTTTGATGTATAAGTACTCCACAGCTTTTCAATATACCTACATAAGTTTTTATTTTCCAAGTTTCCAGTATGGAAGTAGGATTATGAAAGCCATATTTTTCAAAACGTTGTATTTTGTTAAATTATATAAACGTGGTATTGTCGGTAGTCTTTGGATTGCTTTTTTTATCGGCTCATTCAGACGTATTTAAGTGTTGCTCTAGCATTTATCTATTCTGTAAATTCTACATTTTTACAATGAAACTAGCAATTTATGTTTATTTTCATACTGAGGAATAAAACTGTGAAGTCATGTATGTTAATATTTTGATCAAATTTTATAGTAGAGAATCGTTTAAACATTTATTTATGGCCCATGTCCCTAAGGTTTTGACATGTTGGCAAGAAATCAATTATTTTGGCATATAACCATTTCTTTTTATGATAAGAAGAATTAACATTTTAAAATGCAAGGTTCTTTTTTAAAGACAATACGTTGTAAACTTCAGTAATGTTTTACGGTAAACAACAAATTAGAAATGTTCTTTTTTATGGTCGTTTTATGATTAGCGAATAACTTATTGGATATGTATGGATGTCGTAGTGTCCTCGTTGTGCATTAAAGTAGGTAGTCAACAAGAAAAGGTGCTATGTAGACTTAATGTAGAACAGCCAGGCCTTTAAGTTACACTTTAAAATCACTTTCTTAAGAATGTAGTCACTTTACACTATCCAATCCCGGTTGGATCTAGAATTTATCTATTTTCCTTTAAAAAATTAGGCCAACCTAATGTATTTTTTCCGGAGGGAAAAAAATAGACTTTTTTTATTTTAAAATAATTCTAACATAAATGGCAGTTGTTGCAACAAGTTCTAGGCCTATTAGATGGCAGAAACTTTTCATTGGGTCCTGAGATGATTAAAGGCCGAAACAAGTACAGTAATCATTATCATGTTTGCCAGTAAAAGGCCGCACCTACAGTGTATTTGTTTAGTTTTTTTTTATCCTATCTATATTTATACTGTGCAATGTAAGGAGTTGATTTACTCTGTTGTCTGCCATACTATGATAT